TTCGCGCCGCTGATGGTTTCAATGTGTCAAAGTCAAGTGTTGCCCGCTGGCCTTACTGTTTTGCATATACATATATTTCATTTTACTAACGACACATAAAGGGTTATCCATTTTGCAGTTCCGCGATGTTGTAATATGACAGCCGTCAAACCTAACGGTAATATTTTTTAGTCAATAGCGTTATAATAATAATAACAATAATAATAATAATAATAATAATAATAATAATAATAATAATAGGTTGGCGCTCCTCCGATTTGTAGCATGTTTGTTGTTACACAAATCGGAGGGACCTACAGTTTTACGCCGACTCCGAACGGCGATTGTATTTGTATAAGAAGCTGTTTTTCAGGGCAGAAATATACTCGGAGGTTTGGCATTACCCTCCGAGGAGCGACCGCTGTTAAGAAATAATCGTTTTCTATATTTTTTGCGATGTTGCTTTGGCCAGGGATTAAACCCAGGCCCTGCGAAGTGCTACCGCGCACTGCTAACAACCACTACACCACAACGCCCGCCAATAGCGTTTAGTTTTTAAAGTTCAAGTTACCTTTATATATTTTATTTATTACGTTAACTCTCAAAACCTCAATATGAATAACCCTTTATTTGCAATAGATTTCAAGTGTTAATAATTTTTTTGTACACACTATATACATACTCACATATTAGACATGGAACCACCGGGCGCGAAGATGCCATCACCTTCAGCATAGCCGGCCAATTGGCAAACGGTGCGTATGATTTCCGTTTCGATCAGCGAGAAGACGGGTCCTACTTCATAGGTGTAACTGTTATGTGACACAAACAAAAAATAAAAATAAATGAATAGTAAATGTCAGTGCGGAAAAGATAAGTTGAAATTATAAATTACACAAATGTGAGAGAGCTAATCGTGAATTAATAAAAAGTAGTTATTTGGAAAAAAATTTAAGAGTATAGTTGTAAGTATCTTCGAACTCATATTGAGCTCTATGCGTCTACTTAAATATAGTAGATGTGAGTAGTATTTAATTTTTGTATGTTCGGTACTTACGCACTTGCGTTGAGCGCATCGGTAATCCATTGTCCCATCAGCCCATACGGATCCATCTGTCCGAACAGCTGATTATGAAAGCGGCCATGATTGGTTTTTACTGAATATTTAATCACTTTGCGACATAACTCCTGTATCTCATCTATAGTGTGCGTTTTGTTCTCAGCAATACTCAGGTCAATCAATTTCTATCAGAAAGCTTGTCTAATTAATCATGTTTACATATAAATCACACTTGTATTTAAATGCATATATGTATGAGCATATGTATGCATGTCTTTTAATGAATAATTTAATGAAAAAAAATCGTATCAGTGCCGTTTAATCAGAAGGCACATCCCTAAAAGATAATGCTAGTAAACAGCAATGTTTTGTTTTGTTTATTTTTTTGTATATTTTATTTTTCTATTTTTATAACCATTATTCTCGTTTCGATGTAGTGATTATTTTATAATTAATCAAATGCGCATATTTATGTATGTATACATATCGTTACCTTAATTCACAAAGGTCCTAACCAACAATTTTTTTATTTTACAAGAGAGGCAAAAAACATTATAAAAATCAAATCATTCATACGTATAGAACGTTTTAAAAAGTGGCATAACTCCGTTTGTTTTGGTTCTAACACATTGAAATTTATAGTGAAGGTGTATTTTAATATATCCTACCGCAATCTGTGAAAAAGGCAGTTTCGAAAAAGTGTTGGTTAGGGCCTTTGCGAATTAAGGTGACGATATCTACTATTGGAAAAAAATAATTTTAATGAAGAAATGAGTTTTTATTGTAAAAGAAAAAACCGTCGAAAATACTTGGTATGTAAGAAAATGCTCGACTCCGTCAACAAAAAAAAATGCCAAAAATGCTACTTCAAATTTGCACTTTAAATTATAATTGAAAGGGCTACAAAACTGCATGCATTGCTATTTAAAAAGTATTAAATTTTAGCAAAACTTTGTTAAATTAATTTTTTTATAAATATTGCACAAATTTTGGAACTTGGATTTATACGGGTTTGTTTAAAGAATAAACTATATTTTTATAAAAAATAACTAGTCTTCATCAATATCCTCGTCTTCAATTGTTGCGTTATCTTCTTTCTTATTTAGGGATGGAGTTTTTAACGAAAATAGTGCTATTTTAGGAATATTTTTTAACTTTTTTATCCTGGTTTTTAGCTTACTGACAATTACTGGATCAGAGCTTAGTAAAAAAGTTAGAACTTTCTCTGCTACATTTTCTCGAATTATATATGTATCAATATCCTTTTCAGGCTATAGCTTGGACGTGCTTGGAACCTAAACAAATTATTTATTAAATTTCCGATTATTTAGTAATATAACTAACAGATTCCCTGTCCAATGAATCACATGGGATTCATAGGAACAGTTTTGTACCTTGTCTCACAAGTCCATGAATCATATATGAGCAAAATCAATGCTGACTTCAAAAACATATTTCTAGGTATTTTGCAAAAAATATAATGTTTTTGTGCGGAAACATACAAAACAGTTGTAGATTCAATATGATACATTGGACGTACCTTATCTAATCCTTGTCCCACGCATATGTATAGTAATTGAAAAACTAAATATTTTATTTTTTTATAAGGACATATAATCTACGCTCTTTGCATATTTTTATATGCAAGTATGTAATATCAAATCAGATAAAAAAATCCTGAAAAGAACGGGGACGTATGCCATGAAAAAATATGTATTGCACGAGGTCAGGGATACTAAATTTATATATGTACATATCTACTTAGATCAGAAGAAACTATGTACATACATAACCTAAAAGAGATCAAATGTGCGCTTAATTCACCAACAACTAAAAAACTGATTTAAATTAAATATCTGCAATAAAAGGTGATCGATTTGGATATTGAACAAAAGCAAGCCCTAGGCCATACCAACAAACTAACTTTACAACAATTTTTAACAACTGAAACA